TCCTAAATCACTCGTACGCACAACTTAAGAACAAATCTGTGCGTACGAACGGTTCTTGCATGAGGCTCATTGTTCCCACAGGCTTGTATGGAAGGAATAATCGATCATTTCAACTAGGGCTGCAGGTTATTAGAAAAATCATGCAATGGTAATGTTTAAAAAATGTGATGATATCGGGTGCGCTGTGTTTTTTTTTTTCCTTCTCACTTTTTAATATGCACTTCTTACTTTATGTGACTTTTAGCATTTTTGGCAATGCCTTTTGTCTTGTGTGAGCTTTTGCTGCTGAGAGTCTCTGTCCTGCTGGCTCAATAAGAATGAAAATAATTGAAAAATACAACTTTAAACTCTTCAAAACATAATTACTGCACTCTAAGCAGTCCTTTGAGGTATGAATATTGCGCACACTGATATTGCGATAACCAGTGGTGAGCAACACTAATCTAAAAATTAGTTCTACTAGCCCTAAAACACTAACTCTAGTATTTAGGTCCCCTAATTCTAAAGCACTAACTCACTGAAAGTTTTAGCAAAAGCTAATTCTAAAGCACTAAAATAACCCAATCAACCCATGAACATTCTTCATCAGACAACGAGTCACATGTTACTCTCTTAAAACTTATCATTGACATYCCACAGCTGTATTTGGGTTCATATATTGTCACCTGGTGGATCAGTGACACATATGAACAAAATGTGTGACAGCTTTCACCCTCAGCTGTTAACATTAACATKGATCAATAACATTTATAGACCTCAGTTAGTGCTTCTAAATTTAGCAAGTGCTAATCCACTAATAAATTTTAAAATTAGCAAAAGCCCTAAAGCACTAATCAGGAAATTAGTTCCCCTGTTAGTGCTTTAGTGGAACTGGTTACACCACTGGCGATAACACTATATTAGGCTACTGTGYAGCCCTAATTTCAACCAAAACTTGTCTAACTCAGACGTACACCTTGCTCTCATCAGACCACAAAACCTTTATCATTCATTTAGCTTCCAGCTGTTACACTTCCTAACAAATTAAACACATTTTTTAATCACACACATTAAAAATAGCTTTCTGTTTGACATTAGTGAGTTATTTTTGTTCTGTGTTTATAACAATGATCTTAATTTCAAGTTCAGTTTGAGCTACCTCAGGAATTTGTAATTTGTGTCTTTTTMTTTGTTTTTGGCTTGTTGTTAGTTTTATTGTATTGTGTCTGTAAAGCACTTTGGTCAACACTTTTGTTTTTAAAYGTGCTATATAAATAAAGTGATGATGATGATAAAACATTGCTGTCAAATCTATAGTTTTTTTATTTTCAGTAAACCATGTTCACAAATCACAACCACTTAAAGTTTATTTATGTTGACATTTCTTACTGAAAGACATAAAGACTGTTGTCCTCTCAAAATGTTTGGGACATTTTAAAASTCACTTTTAGCAATATATTAGTTTTGCTTACTTGTTGTAGACMAAGACATTGGCTGTTCTGGAATCTTTAAATGCTTTCCAACAWGACTTTAAGGCATAACAAGCTAATCGATGTATCTGATGTATGTAAATTACTGGAATATTTTCCAAATTAGATGTTGTTAGCTGACTTCTTTTGTTGCATTAGCTCAAGTGTATGCAGCTCTGTAATAACAGAATAATTACACGACAGTAGCCTAGCTTGATGAGAGAATATTTGGCCTGACTCGCTAAACATAGCCGGGGTCAAAACTGCAGAGCAGAAATGTCTATTCCAAGAAAACCAGTTGCTATTTTGTGAAGCAGGCAGGCAGGGAGAGCAGAGCCAGGAACATGTGACACCATGTTCAGTCTGTTCAACTGCCATTACTTTATTTGGATGGCTTCCACGATTTAAATCACGACACGCTGGTGTCATTCAGCTATTCTGCAAACATGTTCGTAGTGTAAAAAGCACGGTCTGATTTCACACCGCAGGAGTACAAACAATTTTACAGGTTCTCAACCGGCTGGAAGTGTTAGCGGAAGACAACCGGGATCAAAAATTTAGCTTAACAATTAGCACGCTAGTTAGCTTAAAGTACGACAGAAAAAGACACGTCAAGGCTGCTAGATTACACGTATCACCCAAACGCTACTTTACGCATCTATTTCAGCCGCTGACAACAAGGTATTATTTCTCACACCTTTCYATTTCCTCGTCACTGAGCAGTTCCATGTCAGGCTCCGAGCTCACAGAATTACAGTTGTCTGTCGCCATTTTACCGTCAATGAGGATGGGCGGGGCTTCTCACTGCGGTCGTTACGTACACTGTAAACAGGAAGTAGCCCGTTAGGTCAAGATAGCTATCTGTCAGTAAGTTAAAATCTTTGTAAAAACTAGAAATTATTAGCAAGCAAGCGACTAGTAATGATTTTTGTATGTCCGACGAAACGTCCAGATTGTTTTGGTTCGGTTTACTTTACGTAAACGGCGTACTGAGAGATAAGGGTGCGGAAAGCTAATGCTAACAGGCTAGCAAAAATGGTTGTTTAGCGTTTTTTGTAGCTCTCTTCTCTCTTTTGTGAAAATTTTATACATTTTAATAATGTTTTATGTTATGCTATAGTCGTTGCTTTTCATTGGTGGGAATATATGTTTCATTTTGATCGGTCTGGGTGTTAAGTTTTGGCTCTGCACTTGATTTTACTACAAATCAAGTACAGAAAAGGGGAACAGGAGRTTGTCTGCAAAATAAATATATAGATTTTTGGAAAAGACTAGATAAAGTGAGRACTCTAAGTGGCTCACCCAACCTAAGTGATTAATAATTTAAACTTGCCTATTAGTCCATGAACTATGTATAAAAGCACCTATGTTCTGCAGAGGTTCACTGCATAGTTAATGCTGTTCATCTTCATCGACAGGTTTTCCCATTGGAAAGAATTCATCATGGGAAAAAGCTGCAAAGTCGTTATATGTGGCCAGACCGCAGTTGGTAAAACAGCTGTTTTGGAACAGTTACTGTATGGCAATCATGTTGCAGGTATGTCAGCATGATTTGGTAAGTCACTCACCAAGTTAAAACAAGAGGTGGTGCAAAGGCAGGTTCCCAGCAGAAGATAGATCTGTGCAGTACACACCAGTGGAAGAGAACCAACATGCACACACTGATGTATATGAACTTTCTAAAAATCTTCTGAAAGACTTTTCATCCAGGCATCATGTACAGCATCAGCTATAACAACTTTTTGTGTAAACAGTTCAGCTTATAGAAGTAGTTTTTAAAGCTGTGAATTGATTTTAAGCCTGTTACCATAATGAGATTGTTTTTGTTTTGTTTTCTGACACCATATAATAATTAACTTATTGGTTTCCATTTAAATAAAGATCATGTCAAATTTGCGTAACCACAAAATGGATTGTTTTAGCAGTTAACACACAAGTGTTCTGCATTTGTGTGTTCATCAGACTCAGAGTCCATGGAGACCCTTGAAGATATTTAYGTCGGTTCAGTTGAGACGGACCGTGGGACACGAGAGCAGGTGCGCTTCTACGACACCCGTGGGCTCCGGGACGGGATGGAGTTTCCCCGACATTACTACACTTTTGCCGACGGCTTTGTGCTCGTCTACAGCATCGACAACAAAGACTCCTTCAAACGGATGGAGGTGCTGAAGAAAGATATCGATCGTCACAGAGACAAGAAAGAGGTGAGAGGGTTTAATCTGATGTTTTGGCAAAACTGTGTCACCTTTTTTTTTGATCCACAGATACTATTCATCACTTTGGACTGACATGAGCTTTATTAAATATTCATTTGAAAGCACTTACCTGCTGATTTGTCATGTAATTCAGCTGAGACGCAGTCCAGGAGTCAAAGCTACGGGAGTGTGGTCCTTTACGTGACCGATGCTGTGGATTTGACGGATGTGAACCTAACCCGTTACTCCCGCCCTGCAGGTGACCTTCATCGTGTTGGGCAACAAGCTGGACAAGCAGAAYGAGAGGAGGGTCGACTCCAACTTCGCTCAGAACTGGGCGAAGAACGAGAAGGTGCGTCTGTGGGAGGTGTCGGTGGCRGACCGCCGCACGCTCATCGAGCCCTTCGTGTACCTGGCCAGCAAGATGACCCAGCCGCAGAGCAAGTCCACGTTCCCTCTGACTCGCAACAAGAACAAGGGCAGCGGTTCAACGGACAGCTAAAATGTTGAACTTGGCTGTCCTGTGGGGGGATATGTTAAAGGAAATGTTCTTTTACTTCAAAAATACATTTTAGTTTCCACCAAGTCAGCTTCTGGAATACACCTCAGGAGCGACTGAAGTACTGAAGTTTTCTGTTTTAGGACAAGGGAGAGTAAAGGCATAACGATTGTTTGGGTATTTATATTTTCTTAGCACTGTTAGTTTGATGTATCATCTATATTTTATGTTCTGCTGAAATACTATAAKTGTGAATATTCCTGTTCTACCAGTCAGCAAATGGAACAAAGCATCATTTTTGTTTGAATTCTACTGACGGTAAAACATTTCTTTTCTAACATCAGCAGGTTTGTTTGGACCGTAGTGACTGTGCTGTGGACCGACGTGTTGTAGCTCCTAAATAAATCACAATCAGCATTTTCTCCTAGCTGCTAGCTCAGAATGCTGCAGTTTCAAAATAAGATAGAAACTGATTAAAAAAAACTTTCACATATGGACACTAAAGCACAACTAAATCACAGACTGCAGCATTTTCAAATGTTACGTAACACCTGCTGGACAAAGGCTGGATTTTCTGTACTGTTMATTAACAGGTGACTGAAGGGACATTAACTCGTTAGATATGTTTATATAGAAACTCATCTTTTTATTATTTGTGATGACATTCCTTACCACAAAAAGCCTTCTGAAATGGGAGGATGGTAGACATGGCTTCAGGCTCAGGTGTTCCAGATAAAACGGATCACACTACAGTCAACTATCAACATTATGACCCTTATAATCATGTTTGTTGCTGATGAATTTTATGTTTTATTCTGAAATGTGACCAAAACCAGAGAAAAACKGGCATCCATTTGGGAAACACTGAACATTTACGTGTTTGTGCCATGTCTGTTGTTACTATCCTTTATGCAACTTTTTTTGTACATTTTAAAGCTTTTTATTTAAACACAGTTGGAAAAAAACTTGTGAGTTTATATTTGCATATTTTGTAAACTGATTAAAGTCTTTCTGTGCCTGAATGTAAGACTGTTGTTTCTGTGGTTGGGCTGAATTTGAGTGCATTTAAACACTTAGCAAAAAGCTTGACCTAAAATAACTTTAAAGTGAGAAAATGATATATAATTTAAAAGGAATGACAAGTTGAAATCCCCCAACTTGCAAAGACCTATTAAGTTCTTGCATACGGTGACATTTTGCAGCAAACAATCGTCACTTTGTCCTGAGGGGGAGCCCAGATTTGAACTGGGGATCAGCTCTACAACTGAGCTACACCCCCACCTCCAAAAAAAATAAAAATAAAAACCTTTAGGTCTGATCATGAGTGTTATTTGTCCCTCTGATAATAAAGTAGTGAACAGAAATAAGTTGGAACAAATGCAGACACACTCAGTTCCGTTTACTCCAGTCACTTCTTTATAGTTATTCACAGGTAGTAAAAAGTTTTTTACTTCTTTTTATTATATAACTTATTGGTAGAATGCACAGTTTTTCCTGTATTCCACTAAAATATTTAAAAATATTCCAATTCAACTTGAAGCTTTACCTATTTTTTTACGCACTGAGCCACATCAAGCCTTGCTGAATTCATCATGTTTGAGAAGCTSTTAACTAATTAATTATAAACGATGACAAAGTATGAGCAAAAARGGTAAAATAAGTTTAATATCGACCTCTACACACCCACAAACAAAAGTTGTTGCTGGTTTTCAGCTGGTTTAATTCTTTGGATCTGCTGCCCTCTAGTGGTCAGAGTGAGGAACCGCACTTAGATCTAAAAAGCAGAAATGAGGTAGGAATTTGTGCAACAACTACCAAGTGAGTTAAAACATCACATCAAAGCCAAATTTCTTTAAGAAAAAGTATGTTTTTGCTCATGTGTTAACTACCAAAATGTGTCCTGAACAAAGCTTTCAGAAAATAATCACTGACATCTACAGCTGATTAAAGTTTGAAGCCAAACCAATTCAAAATGGAAAAAAGGATTTTTCTGCTCAACAGACTTTTGGCTATTGACACTAATGATAGAGTTTTGATGTACATTTTCTAGAAGGTGAAACATCTGTCTGAATTAGTCTGGCTCTATTATTAACTAATCTGATACATTAGTTTGGGGTAAAAAATGACATGAAATCATAGACGCTTGATCAGACGAACTGATCTGCTCGTTCCTCGAGGGGCATGTTGAGAGATTAATGTGAGATAATGAGAAAACCTCAAGTGGAACATTTCTGAAATTACATTATGTACACTCACTTTAGTTTACCCACAGGGTGCCGCAGCACAAACCATCTCATTTCATTTGRGTTCTGTTTTAATGAGGAAGTGATTCAGCACACTAAAAAAAAGGTTCAGGGGTTTTATCGGATATTTGAACAACGGCAGCACGGTGGTTTTTATTTTATTTCTGGGAGCTCAAACAGAGATAAAGAAATCTTGTGAAGTGCTGTGTTTTCCTCTCCAATCCTTTCTGAGGACGGCCCAGCGGCTGAACTGGAAGCCATGGATTTGTCACTTGCCTAGAGGATTTATGAACCTCCCCCCTTCCTTTTGACAGGACTAACACAAAAGACARATGTCTCGTTGCAAGTCACATTCACGGTGCAGAAAGGCGATGCCCTTGTGTTGCTATCAGGGGTAGTTTTCTGCAGCAGCGTGTCGCTGGAAACAGTCTGAACAGCCAACATTCTTTATGTGAAGAAAAAGCAACACTTTAACCCTGAAAGCTTCTGCACTGACCCTCTTTTCACAGTCGGCCCCATAAAGCTCCAGCTGAAAGAAACAATTTTACACAACAGTGACCACAAACAGTCTGAAGGGCGGCGCCATCTTTATTGTCTGAGCTTTCAGGCTGAGAAACATCGGCTGGCCTGAAGACGCCAGTCGTGTTAAATGTTGGTTCTTATTATTGTTCTGGGAGACAGATCGTTTACCCCAAAAACAGATATAAAGGAGTGCAATCTGAGTAAAAACAGACRTTCTTTTAATCAAAATTACTATTTGTTTGTGCATTTACATTATTGGACAATGAAAGAATTTTTGTGCTGAGACCCTTAAAATGACTCCAACACGTCTTCCCTTGTTGACGGCTTTTAAATAATTTAATAAAAAGTTTCTGTGCAGCTCTATAAAACCCTCTATCAAACTAGAATGGTCCGGTCTGGAATTGGAGGGGTCCGGGGTGTGAAGCGCGGCGCCCCCCTTTGGATTTAAAGAGACAGCCTCAAAACGAGTTGATCTGAGACACACCCCAGAAAAGGGGCGGGGCTTGTGGAGTTACAATAAGGAGGAATTCACACCAAAGCGTTGCAGTTCCACTTTATATAGACTTCAAGTGAAGGATTTAAATGTTAAAAAGAAGGATTAAAAAACATATGTCCACTTTAAAGACAAAAAGGACAAAAGTGTGTTGCTCCCCACCATTTATTTAAAAGATAACAGATCTGGTCTGTCGGATCAATACATTTCAGAGTCATCACGTCCCTCCATGGTATCACCGGGTCTTAAGTGTTGAGGATCCAACAGTTTTCCTTTGACTGGCACCCCTGGAGGTCCTTACCCTTGATGTGGCTTATCAACCGACTCCACAAAGAGCAGGCCGGACATGTTGGCCGCGAGAATAAAGAAACCAGATCAATATACATTTCAAGGGCTCTGTTTCGAATAAAACCACAAAACTGGGAAATCAGAACGCGAGCCAACTCAGCTAACTACATGGTGATGAAGACGGGCAAATAAAAAGCAGAGTCAGCTTATCACATTTGAACACAATACTGAGAATAAAACACAGCGGATGTTAGGAACAGCAGAGAGCTTCTGTTCAAGAGTCCAATAGTTTTTTTTTTTTGATCAGCTTTTAAATGTTTCTGTGGGTGTTTGGAGCGAGTCCAACATGTTGCATCAATCTGAAGACTTATTAGATTAGCCTGTATCAAATCAAATCATTGACACAGTTTAGTATTTTATAATTCATGAAAAACAGTGGCTTCAGAAAAGGCTGCATGTTGCCAAATCAGATAATAAAGTTAAGATCAGCCATGGATGTCTCATTGATATATATTACATTTATAGCACACACACACACACACACACACACACACACACACACACACACACACACACACAC